TTAACATGAACAGCTAGAACCATAAATAGCGTATGTCTTTAGACAGAATTTTTATTCAGCAAAATTATGTATAGCATTCTTTTTGCTTAAAATACAACAGCAGAAATTTAATACATTTTGAGTTCTGGAATACAGTTAAGTTTTTCTTGATTTAACTTTTTTGTTTTTAAGTGCCACTCTGTTCGCGAATGAATTCAGAGCTGTGGAGTCTAATGGGTCTAATTGTGTGTTTAAATTGCGGTGTCAGATATTCAGTAATGCAACTTGCATGCACAATAGTAAAGGTTTACAAGTATAACTAGATAAATTGCATTTCTTGCAGAAATGCTGTTTGAATCAGCTTAATAGCTGAACTGAAGCTAAAACAAAACAAAATTGTCAAAATGAGCTGAATGTATTGACAGATGTAGAAGCAAAAAGCACCAACCAAGTAAAGCACAAAAAGTAAGTGTATAATAGAGAAAAATAATCCTAAACAGCAGAAAACTGAAATCTGTGAACATTGTATAAAAATCTGGACAGCTAAAATGTCTAAACACCTGTTATTTCAGTAGGACAAGTTTAACAGTTTAATATTTACATTTAGCTGAACTGTGAAATTAGCATCATATGCTAAATTTGGAAACGGATTGCTGAAGCTACTGAATAGCTGAAAAGAAGCTGAAACTAAGCTAAACTGTCAAAATGAGCTGATTGTATTTAAAGATTTAGAAGCAAAAATCACCAACAAGTGTAATGAAGCTCAGACTATAGGTGAAGAATGGACAAAAAAAAAATGCTAAACAGCAGAAAACTTAAATCTTTGAACATTGATTAAAAACTCAAAAGTTGAAATGTTTAAACAGCTGACATTTGAATGAGAATAGTTTAATAGGTAAATTTTTACAATTGGCTGAATTGTGAATTTAGAAACATTTACTGATATCTGAAACTGAGATTAACACATGTTCAGACTTAGTATGGAACTGATGAGTGGTTGGATGAATAAAATGATAAATGGACTGTTGGATGGATGTTAGATGGTTTATTGGATGGATGGATGGATTCCTTAGGCCAAGCCGATCGATTTGATGTCTCACATGTGTGGGTGTGTAAGTCCATTTAGCCAGAAGATAATTAACCTCTCTCAACCAGTCAGGGAGCTAGGAGGGAGCGGGGCAATTTCACACCTTCTGACAGTCAATCAAATTTAACTTATTTCTAGTTTTAAGTACAGATAGTTCAAAAAGATCTAAAACAGAAGTCTGTTATTGGCTCAATATTCAGCTCTTTATATTCATTCCTATGAGACTTGGTTAAAGTGATTTGTAGTTCCTTGTGTTGCCATGGTAACAGATGACAGGAGTCTGCTTTAATAAAGCAATGTACAATGTCACATGACTCTTTTCAGCTTTGAATATCATTTCTATGGCTGTGTCTCAATTCAGGGTCTGCATCCTTCGTCGGCCGGTTACGTCACAGCGCCGCAACCAGGCCTGTCCCAATTTGAAGACTCCATCAAATGTGGTCGACGAATCCGGCCTTCTTTTCGCCTGTATGAAGGATGGGTCCGGTGTATCCTTCAATGGTTTACATTTCCCAAGATGCCTTGCGGGCCGGCTGTCAGAACTTTTAAAAACAATGGCGGACAGTGAAGTGGGAGCTGTTGGAGAGGATTGCGCATATAAATGTCAGTATAAACTTGAAAACTGTTAGGTTAAGGGCTTTTTGTGATACACGTGTTATTTTAGTTAGAAATGTTACAGTAAAAGTGCTTGTATTGCGGTCTCGGCTCATATGTTCGGCCGCTCGGTGTCGTACTTCTCCCGCTACGTTTTCCCCCTGATTTTAATAGAAGTTTGTATTTTAGGGACAAAAGAGAAAACCAGGGAATTTAATAAGCTTAGTGCAGAGATGGACCACATGATCACTGGAGCAAAGTATTCGGCGGCTGTGGCATGGAGGTACAATAACATCTCATATTTTAAAAACTCATTTGAGTTTACTTTTTTCTGCGAAAACATGAAAGGAATAACCCGTTGTCCTATTTTCTCTTCCTGTTTTTTATTCTTACATGTTTGTTAGGACTATTCTGGAGAAAATGGGCATCCAGGGGAAGGTGACAGCGATGACCAGCTTCTGGAGCTGATCAGGGAGGACATGAGGCTGCAGAGGGAGGCAGAGCAGCAGAGGGCCCAGGAGAGAAGGGAGAATTTTGACAGGCTTTTCACTTTGCTAGAAAAAATGGTCATGAAAGATTAAACATGTACAAATAAAAGTAATATCTAAATAAAATCTGTTCTGTATTGTAGATCAGTTGATCCAATGACTGAGTTATGCTGCAGATGGACTTTAACAGACACCGTAGTTGTGACGTGGGAGGTGTTCGTATGTACCACGCGTTCGAGCTACCCGGTTAACATGGCTGTGTAAGTTGCTGAGAGTAACCAGTAAAAGCTCTTATAATCAAATCCTGGTCTCATAGCTCATTTCCACATGTATTAAACTCTTGAATTTTATTTTTGTTTACAAATGTGAATTGTTTAACATTGCAGGGTATCCGCTGGGTCTTGAAAAGTCTTAAAAGGTGATAAATCGGTTTTGATCAAATTAAGACCCTTAGAAAGTATTAAAAACTATTATCACATCTTTGCTCAGGCTCAGCTTGTCGAAAGTATTTTCTCTGAATTAGCTCTCCAACAGTCAAGGAAATGACTAAAAAGCTAAATAAAACTTCGAGCTCCATTGTTTAAAGTTCCTTCTCCCTTCTGCTCAGCGGTTCCACGGTTGCTATGCGACGGAACGTTCGCCGAGGGAGTGGCGGGAATTCATGAAGGCTAGGCCTGTCCAAATTCACAGCCGTTAACATCCGGTCTACCCGGCCGACGGTGGACCCAGCCCACGTCGGCCGAGTAGGCTGGGTCCTTCGAAGGATGCAGACCCTGAATTGAGACACAGCGTATATTTAAAAGTATGTTGATACAGCTGTGTCAAAAATGTTTTTAATTGTTGTTGCTATGGTAATTGCCATGGTAACGCAGAACACAATATCAAGTTAATACAAGACTCCTGGGACCAAGCAGGTTGAATTGATGTATCATATGTGTGGGTGCATATTTCCTTTTAGGCAGAAGACGATTGAAAATTCTCAGCCAATGAGAGAGCAGCGAAGGAGGAGGGGGCGGTTCCTGTCTTCCGACTAGTGTTAAAGTGTCAGCTATGCTGCTAGTTTTAAGTGTATAGAGCTCAGAAAGATAAGAAACAGCAGTATGATATAGGCTCAATATTAGGCTTTTCACATTCATTTCAGTGAAACTTGTTTGGGGATATCCTTATGCACTTGTGTTACCATGGTAACGATAACACATTTAAAATGGAATACAAGATTCCTGAGACCAAGTCGATCTGATGTATCATATGTGTGGGTGCTCGATCCTGCTTGGACAGAAAATGGTTGAACACTCAACCAAAGAGAAGCACCGTTTTACTGCCTTTTCCCCAGCTGTTGGAAACATGCAGCTGTACTCCTGTTACTGAGAGAAGCCTTTAAATCAGAAGTGAAATTAGACCTGTCAAACTTCTGCATAGATTTGAAAAATTTAAGGGTGGGCGGCAGAAGGCTTTGGTGGTCATGTGTGTGGAGTCTTGTGTGCCTACCACAAATGTTCTAGAAGATATGAGAACATTTCTGCTGTCTGTCGGCCACAGGTGCCTTTAATTTTTTAAAGGGATTTAAATGGAGGAAAGCTGGCACAGTCCTTCTGGGGCTTATAGCACAAAAAATGTAATAACAGCAAAACTGAAGACATCACTTTGAAGCTGAAAAAAAAATAAATTTGAGAAAATCATTAGTGTACTATAAAAGATGTGATCGGTGGAAATTTGTTTCAAGATTTCATGAACCATGCATTTAACAGAGCTCAGCTGCTCAGATGTCATTTCAGACCGCTGACACACCTCGCCATTCAAAAACCTCTGCACCTATTGGAAAAATTCAAAATGCTAGAGCAGTAGAAGGCTTTGATGGTTATCTTTGTGAATTTTTATTTGCCTACCATAAATTGTCTAGAAGCTATGACAACATTTTAGCTGTCTGAAGCCGATCGGAGGAGAAAATCCTTTAACATGGGTTTCAATGAGATATCAGGGACTCTCCGAGGCTTGTAAATGCAAAACTTGACAAAATGAAACCTATTCTTAAAGACAATTCCTACTTTGAGATAATTTGTTTCGGTTTGAGTCGTTTCCAGAAAATGTGAAGGTGAAAAGTTAGTGCAGAATTCAGTTTAGAGTGGTGACATTTTAAATTTAAATACTCTCAAACAAATGTACCATGCAACCAATGTTATGAGTACATTCATGATTTGTAGCTCAAAACGAAGGTATATTAGTAAGCCAGCATGAGTCTCATTTCAATCGGACCTACAGTTCTCTCGGGACAATGCCAGAAATGGAGCAAGGGAGGGTCAGCTCCTTTCCCAGTTATACTTTGGGATTTCTCAAAATAAAACCATCCCCAAAATTCTACCTTTTTTTAGAAAAACTAATGAGATTTAACCAGTAATAGCTTAAGTCGTGAGTTTGTTTAAAGTTATAAGGATGCATTCTCATTTCAATGAGACCAAAACTTGCAGAAGCTGAATCTCAGGAAGTATAAAATATTTCTATACCAAAAGTCATTGCCGGCATAAGCTGAATGAGCGTAGAACGATGAGTGTAATGTTAGATACCAAATTGTGTAAATAGTTAAATTGTTCGAAGTAGTTAAATGCCAAAAAAATAAATTATACAGAAGCAGAATAAGCCGACTTGAGAATTATTTTAGTTTATCCAATAAAAAAAATTTAAACCCTTAAACAGGATCGGTGTTCAGGCTTTTATGACCCTTACCCTGGATAGCTAGTTAAAAAGTCACTGGATTTAACACCACATGCTCCACCATGTAGGTTAAATTTTAGTTCTTAACATCTGTGGCAAGTTCGTCAAGCTCAGCGATTAACAGTTTCATAAGCATAACACAATTAGGTTTAAAGCCATTTATTGAAGTCAAGTCCAGACCAACCATCCATTAGAGAACCAGAACCTGAAAACAGAACCCATTTAGTTATTTGAAGTAAGTTTAAATGTGAATTAAACCATCTACTCACAAGGCTATGCTTGACGATTTCTCTGAGCAGATGCTGGTTGTGGTTGACGGCCTTCATACCCGAAATGGGATCCTAGTACTGGTCTAGAAAGCCTCAGGGTCTGTTTTGCTGCTGCACTTGAGCCAACATCATCCAACACACCAGCTCTGCCCTGGAACGATTTTGCGGCTGGAGGGAGTTGTTCCACTACGCCCCTTAGCTGCTGCCCCCTGGGATAGTTCTTAACAGCTGCAGGCCTAGAGCTTCTGGGACTGTCGTGTTTTACGGGTTCAAGGGACTTTCCAGTTTCAGCAAATACACTGCCCCACATACCTTCTTTAGATTGTAGTACGGCAGGGGTTGAGAAGGCTGGGTGTGTCAAGGGCAGCCGTCCACCATATTGCTTCTCTTGGGACCTTGTATTAGGAGCATAACGCCTATCCCACATGCCAGGATTGCTTTGTAGCAGAGGTGATACAGCTGGGTTGTTGTAGGGTGGTGAGGTCATGGAATACATCCCAGGAGACTGGGAGTTCGAGGATGGGACAGTTTTCCATTCCGCCTTCTTTTTTGAACTTGGTGGTTGTGGAGCAATTGGCATCTGAAGTGGTTTGTATGCAGGATACATCCCTGGGGACTGTCCACTGGAGGCAAAGACACGGTCCCACATACCTTCTTTGCCCTGAACACGAGGACCTGGTTCTTTGCCCTGAACACGAGGACCTGGTACTGGATGCCTCTGAGGTGGCTGGGCAGCAGAATGCATCCCTTTAGATGGCATTTCCAAGGATGTACCCTCCCATTTCTCGGTTTTGCTCTGGAACACACCAGAGTTCGGAGAGCCCAGCTGCTGCTGCTGAGGGGATTTTTCTGGAGCATGCATCAGAATTGCACCACTAGAAACAATGTTTGACCCCGTTCTTCCACCTTTGGGCAGTTCTGGGTGCCACACAGGTTCTCTTGGATAGAAGCCACTCGGAGACCCTTTGACAGGATGTGAGGCAGGCCTGTAACTAGGAACACTTCCTCTTTGACTGTAACCATCTACTTGCCCACCTTTAGTTGGTTCAAAAGGTTTAAAACCTTCAGGGAACTTTGAACCAGCAGCAAAAGTTCTTTGCTGTACCAAGTCATCATATCTGAGGAGAGGGGGATTGTAGCTGCGTGGAGAAGGCTCAGCTTGTTCAGAGTAAGATCTTAATCTGTAAACATCTCCTGAAACACAAACACAATGTTTTATAAACATTCAGAAGGTGGCATGAATGATGGGATAGGAGTACAGAGTTAACACTTACCAAACGTAAGCTGACCGATGTTTATCAGAGAGAGCAACAGCACCCTGAAAATAGAAAAAGGAAAACAATAGCTTTAAAAACATTTAGTTAATACAATCCAACATAGTTAAGAAACTTCATAGTACCTCAAAAAGAGTCCAGAAGCCATCTATTAGATTTAATGATAAGCAGACAGCTTGGGAACACTTGCTGTTTGCAGTCAACCAAACAAAACCAGCTCCCACTTCATGCCTACTGCTGCCATGACAGCCCTTTTAAAGTGTAGATTCAACCAATCAGCACTCACTTCTGATGGTAATTAGGACCAGCTTGGACTGGTTTCCAGAATCCTCTTGACTTTAGCTCATCAGGTATATTTCCCTCAGCTGTGAACTTCTCCATCTTAAAGCATCTATTCCTCCAAATGATGAGACATTTACTATGATAGCCTAGTTACATTACATCTTATCAAGATTTTTTGTTATTAAGCCACACGTTCTTTTTGCCTAATCTACAAAAATGAGTTAAGTTCATTTTTTTTGAGTTGGCAGTGAAGTCAAATGGCATGAACACATCCTCATTAGAACTCAAAATGAAGACATTTGGACAGGTTTAATGTACTTAGAGACATTTTGCTTCTCATTCTTAGATGTTTACAATGTTATTCTGGCCTCAGTGTGACATTTTTAGCACTTTTCACTGATTTCAGCCATTGTGTCAAAGAAGAAAAGCACAGGTGACAAGGCTTGGTTAATGAGCACTCTTTTTTAATGATTATGCAACATTATCATGCAAATACTTTTTATTTCATGATGTACATTACACAAAAGCAGCATGCAGTCATTAAAAACACCATCAGTCCTACACATTTGAGAGATTGCACATCTAAGAGCCTTACTGGAGAGAAGAAACACGCATTAGATTAGGAGTTTGTCTGTTTTTAAGACAGATCTTAATAAAGTTTGATCAAAATTGTGACGGAATTAAGAAAAGAAACAAAACTGTTAAAAAAGGGATGCATCTAATAAGAACATAACTTGTTTAGAGCTAGAGAGGAGTGTTAACTGAGTTTGAGGCCGAGGCAGAGAGCCAGCTCATTCTTCTGGATTTTTCCGTCTCTGTTGATGTCGCAGTGGCCCATCAGAGCTTTCCGGAACTTGTCCAGCTCTGATCCGCTGATGCTGGGCTGTGAAGAGGGAGAGCTTTTAGTGTCAATCATCCATCCATCCATCCATCCAACCAACCAACCTGAACAACATCCTTCATCATAAACGATTTTACAAAAAGAGGCTAAAGTAATTTAAAATGAAAACCCAACTACTGTAGAAGCGTCCGTGCAAACGAGAAACGTTGGTGAACAAAATGTCATCAAAGAAAATGGAAGTACAAAAATATCAACATTGAATGTGATGTTTTCAAAACAATATACGTTTTTTTAAATTTCTTAAACCTCTACCTCTTAAACATGATTAGTGCGTTCCTAAAAAACCTGCTGTCTCAAAAGCTCCACGTGTATTCTGCCCTCTAGTGATGGATCTAAGTTCTGCAGGTTTTCTGTTGATTTTTGAAATTTTATTATAAAATCACATAATAAAACATCTATAGTAACACCAGAAAACAATCAGATCTTTATTTAATGTGTCAGACATTAAAGCATTAAATAACTCAAATCTCTGGTTAATTCTGCAGGATCAGGAGTTTACATGCAGCTAAATTATGAAAGATGTAATAAATTAAAGGCAGGTTTTTTTTTTTTTTTTTTTACCTTGACCAGCTCCATCATATCTTTGACAAATCCATCCACCTCAGGACCTTCTAAGGCTCCGGTTTTACTCTCAACACACACACAGAGGCAAGAAAAATCATAAAAATGTTCTCATTTAAAAAAAGAACCACTTTTAAAACCCAATAATTTATAACAGTAAAGAAAACAGGCTTTAAAATGTCTCACAAATAAAAATTAACAAAATAAGAGCTGATCAGAGCAAGAATGAAGGGAAAACATCACTTACAACATCATAGTGAGCAAAAATCTTCTCAAAGTCCCTCTTCCTGTCCTCCTGACTGCAAGCCTGGAAAATGAGAACTTTGTTTATTAAGGACATCTTCTAAAGCTCTATTGATTATAAAACAAACAAACAAACAAAACATAAAACCTGATTCTGAACTTACATCCATCTTGAATTTCAATAAGAAGTTTTCTTTCAAGGCCAAAATTCTGAATAAGGAAGAAAAAAGAACCAGTTAAAGGTCACAATCCAAAAATACAATTCGTTCAAGAAAATAAATGAGTTAATGAAATCAAGTTAAAGAAAATGCCTAAAAAAGAAAATTGAATATTAAAATTCAATGAAAACATGCAAAATATAAAACTCATAATTAAATTGAATAAACAAAATAAAAAAATAAAGAACTTTTTTTTTGTTATGACCTGTATTTAATCTGAAACTCTCCTTTTACCTGGCCAGGTCATTTAAATCCAGTCTGCCATCTTTGTTTTTATCAAACATTTTCATCTACAAAGAGAAAAAGTCAGACTAATGTCAGCAGTCAGTGAGAAGCATCTCAGAGCAGCTCAGCCTGTCTGTTACCATGGTATCAGCATACTCCTCCAGCCTCTCAGGGGTGATGGACTTCCTGTGCTGGAGGAACAGATCTTGAAGGAAGCCCTGAAGGTACAAAAATGCCTCAAAACTTCTGGAAAACACTCTATTTTCCAAACATAGAGTTTTATCTAATCTATTCTATGGAGACATTTTATATCTTTTGTGGCATTTTTGTTTTGTCCGACTAAATACCACAAAAAGAAAATAGGTTAAAAAATAAATAAATATAAACAGAGCAGTTTTACCTTGAGCTCATTGGCTGAGATGTAGCCACTGCTGTCGGTATCATAGTTTCTCCAGATCTAAACCAGAAGAGGCAAATTTAAATATAGCATTTACGCTAGACAAATGTTTTATGCAGGTCCTGAAGGTGATGCCAAAGATGCTTGTGCAACATCCAAACTGTTAAATGCAACAGATATCTTATTGCATGTTTTTTAGTTTTCATTATATACAGTATAAAGAAATCAAAACAAAGATAAATATTTCTATAAAGGGAATGAATATTTACATCTGAAGCTGCCATTTAGCTTGAAAATGTATTTATTTATTAGTATTTTGTGCATTGTTGTGTTTCCTTGTGCATGCAGTTAATAAAAGTCAAAATTATTAACTTAGTAAAAGTTAATAAAATTTAATTCATTTGTTGAATTTTTGCTGATGACATTTTTGCTGATGTATTTTAACTAAAAAAGAAAAAAAAACATAATCTATCAGAAACAAAATTCCCTGTCCAAACAAACCATATTCTGACGAGGTGGTAATTCTTCCATACTTCAATCCTTCAGATGACATTTTTTGTTTGTTTCTCTACCTCCATCCATAACATGTGTTGATGTTTAGACCTCACCCTCATAAACTCCACGCTGTTGTCCAACGGCGTTTCTCTGCGGAACAAAAGCAGGAAGTTCTCCTCCTTAGGCAGCATCATGGTGGCCAGCTACAATCAGACAAGTTTTTGTTTCCTTTATTGAAGGAACCATTGTTAGTTTTAAAGCAGCTGAACATACATAACTGCTGTATATTTTATAAATACTACTAATATTGAACGGATTTTTCTTTACCTCCTGGATCAACACGTTTTCATCTGCTGGAGTAGAACAAGACTTGACTCTACCTCTCAGTCTCCTGACTTTGTCCTCAGTTATCTCGTCTTTCTACAAGACAACATCCATTTGATGTAAGAAAAATCTAATTTGAGGACTTGTTTTTGTATCCACACCAGGAATAACAGATTCTTCCCTAAATACAAGAATCATAAAAACATGCATTCATAAGAATCAGCAGAGGATCTGACATGTTTACCTTTATTCCAAGGTTTTGCATCACATGTCTGAAAAAGTCATCCAGTTTCTTTCCTTCGATGTAACCTTTATCTAACACAGAGAATATAACAAAATATGAGTACTTTTTCTATTTTATTAGCTTTTACCCAAATAATAAACTAAAACCTAGTTATAAGAATTAAATGGTAATATTTAGAATTTCAAATAGTTTGAGTGACAAGCCCTCCTAGATTTAAATTCAGAATTTTAATGTTACCAAAAAAAATAAAAGACAGCTTATAATATCACATAAGTCACAATCAGACTCAGTAACAGAAAGTATCTGTTTTATTATGCAGTAATGTTGTAAAAAATAGGTTTGAGGAGATCCCATAGGTCAGTTGCTCCACCTTGAAGAATTTTTCTTGATATTCATGTTTACTAAACTTGTTTTAAAATAGTCATTTATGCTTTGGTACAAACAGAAGTCAAACACTGTAATAAAATCCTAAGAAATTTAAATAAATTCACATGGAGAGCTATTTTCTCCCCTTCAAATGTTTGAGATTTTTTATCTAACAAACTTTTTCCACTACTTATTGTGCTAGTTTAATTTACAGATAGTAAAAAATCTAATTTTGTACCTTCTTTGTCAAAATTCTGCCAGACCTGCAAGAAGCATGCAGCATCAAGTCTGTCCAGAGCGCTGTCCATGGTCCTGAAGCCCAGTTCAAAGGCCAGTTTTGAGAAACAGCACAATAACACACAAAAGTGATCCCTTTAGTAAAATCTACTCGTCCCTGAGGCGTCTCCTGAAATCAGTGAGACGAAAGGGACTCCCTCTCTTATATTGGAGGGGCGGGCGAACCACAGCACATGCTGGAGGAGGGCTCCTGAAAGTCCGTGTGCGTAACCATTGACTCAGTTTATTGGTTTAAACATAGAAATACAAAACATTTGATAGCTAAGAGTCACATTTCAAAGCTAAAAGGAAAAATGAAAAAAAAAAAACACAAGTTGAACAATTCAGGGACAAATTTCTCCCAATAAAATGAAAATCACAATGAAAAACCATCACCAAGCTCCACCAATAATCACATTTTTGCTCATAATATAAATCAGTTTCATGAATCTGACAAAACCAAATGTATCCAATAAACAAGAGCTTAAGCAGACGGTATACAGTATATTTACACTCTATATAATACATTAAGTGCAGAAGTACAGCAACATAAATCACTAACAACTCGTCTTCTGAGGAGGATACAGCAGCAGGAATGATGGGTAATTAGTTCATTTAATTATGAGGCCAGAAACATTTATTTTTATTGTCATGTAAAACATCTGTAAACAGCAGGAAGTGAAAACGTCAACAAAACGTCTCCAGAAACAAAAAAAGGGTTTCACCCTAAAAGTAAAAAAAAAAAAAAATTAAAACAAGGTTCAACTGCAAAAAGAAAAACTTTAAATAAACATTTAGATATTTATAAACAAAAAAGTTTTTTTAATTCATCCCTATTTTCAGTCATGTTTTGAATTATTTTAGTCACCTGATCGAGCTCATGTCCTAAAATCCTTATGTTAAGTGTTTTGTTTTGTTTTAGTTAAGAAAATTTAGAAGCAAGAGAAAGAAAAATCTTAGTGAGGTGAAAAATGCAGAAGCTTATTCTGATGCAACCATGCAGAAATAACTAGAAACTTAAAAAATCAAACATTTATTGGTTTGCCAAAACGTTTGATTCTATGAAATAAAAACAGCTGTTGCATGAATTCCTCCCTGTTAGCAGCTGATTTTATGTTTAATGTGAGTGGCTCGAGTTTACAGAAAAAACTATTTTACACTGCAAAAACAGATTCTCAAAGAAGTAAAAAAAGTCTTGGTTTTAAACATTTTATATTAAATTTTACTTCAAAAAGAAAAAAAAAATCTAATATGCAAAAATAGCACCACTTTAAATAAGCTAAATATGAGTAAAAATGCTAGAAAACTTGATAGTTAAAACTTTTTTAGCCATGCAATTTTAGCTTTTTTTAAAAAACTGAAAACAAGAAAAAATACCTAAATATTTTTACCTTACCTTCAAGTAGTGATGCTTTTGCAAGATAATATAAATTTTTAGACTAAACATGAAATAAAATGTCTAAAAACAACATTTTTTTTAACTTTTTTGAAAACCAGTATTTGCAGTGTATGATTATGATTTGTATGAAAACAAACTACGGAGTTACCTGAACCCACCCGTAGATATTCATTCTCCTCAGTTCTTTGGACTAAATTAAGGGTTTAAAGCAGGATATGTTGAAACAACAACCACAGAGCGTCCTCACATCAGATGAAACTCATGTGACTTGAACTTACGCAGAATCAGGAACATCCTTTCATCACTGACCCGTGTGAGCTGAAGCTCTTAAAGGAAATTAAAAAAGAGATCATAGCTTCTTCACATCTGCTTTTGACAAAGGGGCAGTCCAACAGGATTAAAAAACAAAAGAGCAAACGAATCACATGGATGGAGGGTCATCTCCAGACTCGTCCTCAAATTTGTTGTTAGGATTGAGGTCAGAGGTCACAGTGGGAATCTCTCCCTCAGCTGGACTGAGATCAGCCTCCATCTGAGATGGTAGCCTCACTGAGGAAACAAAAATAAAATGCATTAGAGGTTATTTTAGGAGCAGAGGCCTGTTGGACCAATAGAATCTTCACATTTTCTAATTTACCAAAATTTTATATGGTGAAATAATGGAAAGGCTGGAATCATCTTTTACCCCTTTAAAAAAGTAAAATGTTGTTTAAACTGTTAAAAAAAAAATTATATATATATATATATATAATTGCTGGAGGTTTTTAATAATTTTATCTTTCCAACAGCTTCCCCCAACTTTTTTTCCCACGGAGAATTATAATATTTTAATAAATGAAGAGAAGCATCCGAACCGTAAGTGGGAAGGGACTTTGCGCGTTCGTGGGCGTCCTCCTTGACCGACGGAGGGCTGGATGATCGCTTCAGGGATGACCACTGTCTGCTGCCGGAGCCAGGCTCCAGTTCTGTGACGGGTTGGTCAAAAGCATCGCCGTCCGCTGGAAAAACAGCTGAAACGAGAAGAGACATCATGTCAATTAACAGAAACAAAATATTCCATTTTTTTCATCAATTATTTACAAAGTTATGTATAAATAGGAAAAAATGAGGACTTTACTGACAGAAGAATAAATTGTGGTCATGTGGCTCATTTATAAAAAAATCTAACAGTAAGTGCTAAAAGTAAGTGGATAATCTTTACAAAGTTGTCAGTCATGTATTAAAGAACGTATAATTCATGATCACTAGCTACCTAAAAGTTTTGAAACTTGATTTAAATGTTGAGGAAAAGTGGTTTTAAACAACAAATGGCAGCAGACCGCGTCTGAAACGTGTGCTCCCTAAAATGGCCAAATTCCCTTTTCTTCCTGTCGCCGTGATTTTAAAATCACATCTTTTTGCACAACAATTAAGAACGACACGTCGCTGATCTGATTATAGAGAAGGACGAGTTCCTGTAAGTGTTAATTACACAAGTGGGACATCAAACTCCTAAATCACACACACACACAGACATTTGGACGTAGCAAGTACAGGCTGGGACTGGTGCATCTGCTCGGAGTGTGATGGACCTTTGCATCAGCCGTGTTGTGTGCTGGTGTGTGGAGGCGTCGAGCGCCAAAGCCTCCATTAAACATCTGGTCACCTGTTAAATTAACTGTTGTATTTTTAGCCGTTTTATGTCCTTTTAGTGACGTTGGTCGTCTTCACAAGCTGTTTTTGTTCATCCTGATGTGTGTGATATTAACACTTCTACAGCTAAACTCATTAGAAAATCAGAAACAGAGATAGTGACCGTCCAGTGGAGACAGGGGTCCTGAAGAGCTGCTGCTCACGCTCCCTCGGTCCTGCTCTGACTGCGCCCTCTTCAGGCGAGGAGCAGGAAGTGGCGCTTTGGGAGACGTACTCCCAACTTGAATGTCGACAGAGTCATCTGAAACACGAACAGTAAAATGACTGATTGGTCCTTGAACTCACAAAATTGTTTATTATAGTGCTTTTATGTTTTTCATGTTTATACCGAGAACGGAGATGCTGAAAGGCCTTTGCCTTAATGGACTCAGGGATCCGGATGTGCGAGGTACCAGAGGGGATTTTGTGGCCTGGGTTGGAGATTGTTTTTGGGTGACACTCGGTGGTCTGGACCTGGGAATCGGCTCTGGTTTGGAGTGTTCAGTGTCTACTGGGACAACGGGATGGACATCCACCTTGGTGGTGAGATCAACCTCTGACTTGACAGTGGGATGGACAACCTTGGAAGAAGGATGGAGATCCACCTTAGAAGTAGGATGGAGATCCACCTTGGAAGTAGGATGGAGATCCACCTTGGAAGTAGGATGGAGATCCACCTTGGAAGTGGGATGGAGATCCACCTTGAAAGTATGATGGAGATCCACCTTGGAAGTGGAATCAACCTCCAACTTGACAGTGGGATGAATATCTGACTTAATAGTAGGATGGAGATCAAGCTTGGAAGTGGGATGAAGATCCACCTTAACAGTGGGACGGTCATCTGACGTGGCTATAAGAAAGACATTAGAAGACAAATTACAGATCAAAACCAGAGAGCACGTGATAGGACTGTGCAATTGATCATACTTGACTCATACTTCAAACAAAAACATCATAACAACATAAATCAATTATTAAAACTGTTTCGTAACATTACACTTTACAAGCATGCTCTTATTTTGTCTCGTCTTCTGACTGAGGCACAATTCCAGGATGAGGTCACTTCTTGAGGTATTAAAAGTAGAAAACACAGCAAAATAGGTGCTTGTACAACAGTGATCGGGCTGGTTGTCCCTGTGTGTCCTTGTGTGATGGACGGCAGACACGTTCAGCATTTTCCCTGCAAACCTAGTGACCATAATGAGGACTAAGATGATAATGATGCTTTGACAAGACACCCAGCCCAACCACATTGCCTCATTCACTATCGGAGCAGGACAGGTAAAAACAAAAAATGAATGAAAATCCAACCTGGACCCAGTCAACAGTAACGAGCACACTCACGTTTGTCTGTGTCCACCTCGTCTGTTCCTGGTGATGAATCAGCCTGAAAACAAAGTCTCATCAGACAGATTGTTGCATGCCAGATGCTTTTATGAACATATGCTTATTTTAGTTGGTTTGTAACTGAAACCACTGAGTGTAGGTCGATGTTAGCTCTGGTTTTAGCGCTTAGCTTCGCCTCCACAGACATCACTCTCTTAATTTTAATTCCAGGTTCAATCATGATGCCAACAAAAAAGCAAATGTCTTCTTCTGCAATCTTTATTGACTGTTGGCAAACTTCTAACTGCTAACCTTTACATCTGCTACCATCAAGGTGAAGCCATAAAGCAGGTACAAACAGCCCACTAGTGATTGCCAAAACCACCAAAGTTGTTTAGTGCTGTTTCTGGCCAGAAGGGAGCAGCAGAGTGCTGTCCCATGTGAAGCTTTATGGCTCAAGAACCACTGAAACCAGTTTGAAAGCAATAGCTTAAAGTGTTACTTTAAACTGATAAACTACACGAATGTAAAAATTTGCCAAATATTTCACACATTAACATCAATTATCCCCTATTATGCATATTTAAAGGCGAGACCAGTTGGTTTTGGCTTGCTTTTACCACCCCCTAGTGTCCGTTTAGTAGAACCAAAAACAAAACCTGTCTCCTAGCTGTGCGTTTACGACATAAAATTTTATTGCCAATATCGGCCGATAATATCAGACATCCCTAATTAATACCTTCTGTACTTTAACCTTTATTAAATCATAATGGATGTCAACAGATGAGTAAAATATTGTAGTCTGATTATCTACAAACCCAACCAACCTTCTTCACAGCGATTTTTTCTTGCTTGGTTCTGTTTTGTCTGGCCTTCATCTCAGCCAGCAGGTCTTTCCCCATCATTGGAACACCAATGTAGCGATGCACGTGAGGAGTCTCCTTCTTCTCCACATTCTCCTTCTTCTCTGCATGTTCAGCCTTCTCTAGGTGGTCCCCTAGTTCCAAAGTCTTCTCCTCTTTTTCCTCTTCAACAGGTTTGGGGGCAGTCAGAGGAGCTTCTCTTTCAAGATTTGTGTGGTCTGAGGAATGTGCCCTGTGGAGCTCCGGATGACTTTCTGCCACGGACATGACGGGGGTTTTCACAGGAAGTGTAGGAGATGATGGAGAGCTTATTTCAGGGATGGGGTTGATAGTGGAAGAAGCAGTAGGGGAAGGATGAGGTGGTGAGATGGAGGAAGCTCCAGTGGTCTTTTCTGAGCGAGAAGCTCGAGATTTGATGTAATTAAAAAAGCCACTTTTCCTGGATTCCCGTTTTTTATCTGTTGATTCTGGAGTAATGGTGGAGGGACTTCTCGCAAAGGGGAAACTGTAAAGTATTTAGAGACAAGCCAATCTTACATCAGATTTTAATATATCTCAAATATCTTGGTTACTTTTATGCTGACCACATAACTTTTTTCATTGTTTGCTTTAAAAAATTTAATAAAATTATGGTCAGAGACGTCCTAAATTAAATGTCTATCACACATTTTAGTAAGTAGGGTATTTGAAAACAAAAGTAAAAATGAATGCAAATTTGTATTTTTCAAAATAAAATAACAACACTAACTTAAAGCTGAGTTTTGTGACTTTCTTGGTGAAGAAGTCATCCACACCCTCATCCAGCTTTCCCATCATGCCGTTCTGCTCTGCATCCTGTGGCACAGAGAGGCCAGTGGCTTGCCGCTAAAAGGCAAACAAAAAGCTGATATGTATTACCAAATAATACAAAGTATAATTCAGAGTTTTAACATGTAGACATCCCTTTGAAGCATAATGCGTGTTTAACGACTAAAATCAAACAGAATATTGAGTATTTGTGCAGCAAAACAAATATGATGCTTTTTACTGGTGATCTGCTGGGTTTCCTCCTTTTTGGTTTTGGTCGGAATTTGGTGCAGTTTTCCAGAGGCTTGTGCTCCACGGGAGGTAGCTCCCCCAAAGAGACAGAGTTTGTATCTGTTGGAGTAGGAGGGAAATCTCCAAAGTATGACATCCTGTCTGATGTGTGCAAAGGAGGAGGAGAGGGAAGAGGCGGGTCCTCATAATGGATTGGAACTTCTTCCAGAGCTTTGTCCAGGTCAAACTCCATCTCTGTTGGGAGATGAAAAGACAGCAAAGGTGCAAAAGTCAGAATGTGTATGGATAAATAAAAACTGTTAAATGTAAACAGTGACTTGGAAAATGACTCTCGATATCAAAGAAAGCCCCCAAATACAGATATACCGTAAATCCTCTAATATTGGCCTGTATTAAATTAACGGCCGGGTATCATATTTTGGCCGGTGTCGGAGTTGGCGGAGGTGAATAATGGCCGGTTTTTTATTGTGGCCGGGTGGAATGTGGTAACAAGCAAGTACGGGGGGCGGTTGTGTCATCGTCTCACTTTTGATTTGCCAGTGATAGACCGCGAGGGTAACTTTAACCGTGCGGAGACGACGAGGAGGTGAAAATTTGATATCAAGTTCAAAGAGAACGTGCTGATTATGCTGCAGAACACTCTGGGGAGCAGTAGCAGGGGTTGTATGAACTAGTCGACTTCACTATACTTTTTATGCCCGCCATCGACTAGTCGCTGTCACGTGATAATGACCGGCAAGATGCAGTCCACGGAAAAGACAGCATCCTGCTGTCAGAGGAGGGGAGGCAATGCACTGTGCCAGAGCGTCGGTACTGACACGCGATCGTTCATGTCGGCTCATTTCCTTTAATGTTTTCTCTCTTTTATTTGCGCCTGATGCGTTTCGCTGCTGTGGAGCGGGCCGCATCACCTTGTCCTCCGGCGACGCACCGATCACTGATGTGGCCGCCAAGCAGCGAGCACTCCGCTGTTTTTGCGGTCGGTAGATCTTTTAGAACTGCAGTTCAAAGGTAACTCATGAGGTGAATATATATGAACCCAGGTAGCAGTTTCTCTTTAGGATTGAGAGGAGATGCAGGAAGATAATAAACAGGCAGGACAGAAAAATAGTCAAATAAAAACAAGTTAGTTTTTGTACCTGGTGGTTGCAACAAACAGACACCATTGAAGGTCATCAGAAGTGAGGAACAGAAAATGAAATAATTATTTCAATGGTTAGAGCAGCAGGAACTCTGAGAGGCTGCAGGCGCATCAGTGAGTTTGCGGCCGCTGCGCAGGGGGAGGGGGGAGAGGGCTGAAGCAGAAACTACCGTTGTTAAAAGAAATGTGTTTAACTTTGAAAATGTGGGTGCAATTTTAATTGTCAAAAACTCCAGCGAACCATTAGTTCATTTTGCTCAAATAGAAATAGAGGCCTGCCTCTAATTCTGGTCCTCCTTCCAATAAAGGCCTGGAGCTTGATGAGCTTGAGTCAAATACAGGCCCGGGCCTGTATTAGAGGATTTACGGTAGTCAGTTATGGGTTTTCAGGAGTTCCTTCAGTTAAAAAGCTGGTGTTTCAAATTTCTGAAACAATTTTTTTTCTTATTACTAAATGCAGAACTAAGATGCATCTTGCTGTTGTGTATTTTCTGCCTTGTCACTCACCAAAAGCCACGGAAACGGGTCTCAGCATTCGGACCAGAATGCTCTTTCTCTTGGATTTCGGGGTCATCTGAAGTCAGGACGTGTTAAAAAGTAAAACCAAACAAGTTTGATTGTAAAAACGACAAACTTTCATAAAGATTAGTTTGATAACACTCCTAATACCGTGAGGGATTGCATCTCGTCCGGTCCATATTTCTGCTCTTTATCTCGTTTTTGAGCTTTCTGGTGGTTTTCTTGCTGTAGAACCGTCTCATCCAAGACTTCTGTCTCCATGTGGACGTCGTGATGCAGCAGCGGTTGGCCTTTTCTGATCAGATGATCCGCCTGAAGTCAGGTCGAGGGAGAAATGATCAACAATAAATAAATTAACAGCTAAAGGGCTGAACAAAAAACGGACACTAACCAGAGTATTTTGTGATCCGGACAAAGACTCAAGGATCTCATCCACAATCCGATCAGACAGAAACGAAGCCAAGCTGAGTTTCACTTCGCTGTTTTTTTTTTTTTTTTACACAAACATAAAATTAAACAGAATAAACCACCAGACAAAAACAACATGACACTATTTAAAGCAAACAAACCTGATCTTGTTGATGATGTCAACCCCAGACTGCTCCAGAAGCGTGTTGGTGATGAAGCTGCGGGGGATAGTCATCCTCCCCGCGCCGGCCTTCAGCAGTTCCTGACGAAGGCTGCTCCTCTTCATCACATGAGGACACAGCCCCTCAGCAGCATCCACCATAGACACCAGTAGAGTCTGAGGCCCGGGAGAAAAGATTACATACAGTCGTGTTCTCACACAGGGCTTTAGCAGCTGGGGCCACGTTCAGCTTACCTGCAGCTGCTCATCCATCACCGTTCCCACCTCTCCGGCCATCGACTCCAGTTTGTCCTGAATGGCTTCAACACAGGCCTCTCTAGAGCTGCTGCTCTTCAGGTGGTACAGGTTTGGAAGAAGCTGGAAAAAAAAGCACAAGGTTGGTGAATTTTATCCTGAAGAGGCCATAACTCCACCATCTCGGCTCTGATTCACGCCCTCCTACCGTTTTGGAGTTTCTAGCATCCTTCATGAGGTTCTCTGCCACTTTTATGTCCTCCAGAACAGAGATGGTTTCTGAGAACCTCAGAGAGTTCAGGTGGTCCTGCACCCTCACACACATCATGTCCATCATCTGCGTCACAAAAAAAAAACAAAAAACAAACCCGATTTCTGATCGCTGCAGGGATAAATGACTGAAAGGTAAGTGCTTGTGTGTAGAGTCCACCTGCTGCGTAGTGCTGGTAACGATTCCCTGCTGCAGCCTGTACGCCTGCTCCTGCAGGTATTTACGCGTCTCATGGTTCCTCAGCAGGTACTGCTCCATCTGCAAGACGACGATTAAATAAAAGTCAACTTTCACCTTAAACAAGGGAGATAATACAGAACAAACCTTTAGTAAAGCCTCCTCTGTCTTCTCTGGATTGGCCTTCAGTGCCTGAGCAGCATCCATGATGGGAACAGGCATGAAACGAATGGTGTGGTTTCTGACAGAACAAGAGAACAGAGCAGAACGAGTCAGTAGCAGGCTGCAGATTCTCCATGGTGTTGTTTTTCTACTCACTTCTCTAAAGCAGCAGCTACATCCTGTAAACCCTGACAGCTGACGTTGTTTCTGTCCCACATTAATGTCCTGAAATCACACAAAGCAAAAACACGTAGGAAGGCATTATTCTTGTACAATTAGGGCAATTTTCACTATGTTTGTTCATTTTTATTTAGAAAATATTCTTTTTCTGGTCTCAATGCAAGCCCCCACAATTCGGGTCTGAAAATGAAGCCAATGCGGAAGTGAGAAAAGTTGCAGTTCCACCCTCATCCACTAGGGGCTGGTGTCAGAAGCGAGCAAACCCTCATTGACTCCCATGTTAAAAATACCATTTTCACAGCAGATATAAACAGGTTTACAGCCTGGTACCAGAACATGTTTTGGTTTAAATGATCTAGTTTACACTCATGACAACTCTGAGGGTGTGAATTTTTTCCTCACTCTTCTGTTTAAGTGTATTAAAAGCCTAAAATTCTGTATAATTAATGAGCATCAGACCCACGTGACCACAGAGCTAGCTCCGTGGAAAGGCCTCAGTAGAGCCTCGGTCTGGCTTGGAAACTGTTCCGTCATTTTCAGTCTCTCAACTTAGACCATTAGTTGTGCCGTTTGCAGTGTTGGGCAAGTTACTTCAAAACTGTAATGCATTATTATTTATTACTTGTTACCCTCATTTTAAAGTAATTCATTACATTACAATATTACTGATTTTAAATTGTAAGGCATTACACTATTTTTGCATTACTTTAAGTTACTTTTACCAATACAACTTCAGTATGAATCTGGTAATCTGACGCTCAGTGAGCTCATGACATAAATGTGGAAGGTGATGTGGTGTCTGAGCTAGGATTGCTGTTAAAAACAGTCAGATATAATAACAGTGCTTTAAAATGATTGTTTATTAAATAAAAACAACAACAATCTGTACTCTCAACACGCTGCCATCTTATATTAACTGAGCAAGGAGTGAGGTGGTGGGGGCTCCAAGCCTATATTTGCCTTGGTCCCCAAATGCCTTGATACGGCCCTGGATGTGGGACTGACTTCTGGGGTGATCTTAGGTGGGAGCCATCCATCAGCTCCCTGCTCAAAAAGGCCCAGCAGAGGATGTACTTTCTGCGGCAGTTGAAAAAGGCCAAGCTGCCGGCCCAGATGATGGTGCAGTTTTACACGGCCATCATTGAGTCCATCCTCACCTCCTCCATCACTGTGTGGTACGCTGGAGCCACAGTTAGGGACAAACATAGACTGCAGCGCATTGTGCGCTCTGCTGAGAAGGTGATTGGCTGCAGCCTTCCATCTCTCCAGGACCTGTACGTCTCCAGAACTCAGGGGTGTGCAGGCCGGATAGCAGCTGACCCTTTGCACCCGGGTCACAGACTTTTCGAGCCGCTTCCCTCAGGCAGGAGGTTACGGTCCATCTGGACCAGAACCTCTCGCCATAAGAACAGCTTCTTTCCATCTGCCGTTAGACTTGTGAACAGCTTATAAATACAAAACCATGATTGTCTGCTGTACTTGACATAACGTCACGTTATCGGCCATGTTACCATTACCTGCCTTTTTATAGCTGAATGTTTTATGCTAGTTTTATTATATTTTATTCTACTTATTCTATTTTTGAAATTTATTATTCATGTTATATGTAGCACATTAGTATCGAAACAAGTTCCTAGTTTGTGAATTGCTTGTTCACTGACAATGGCAATAAACTTTTTCTGATTCTGATTCTATCATATAAATATTAAATGCATACCGTAAATCCTCTAATACAGGCCGGTATTCAATTAAAGGCCGGGTCTCCAATTGTGGCCGGTGTCGGAGTCAGTTGAGGTGAATAATGGCCGGTCTCTTATTGTGGCCGGGTGGAATGTAGTAACAAGCAAGTATGAGCGTCCCAGCGGCAGGGTTATAGTCCCCAAATCAACCAGCAGGAGGCAGTAGAGGTTCACGCAGACCTTTATTAGGCTTTTTCTTCAACGCTTTGTAACGCTACAGACACGATCCTCTATCACGCTCCTACCACACAGAGTCACGGTGTCAGTTAACCATGCTAATTCAACCCGCTCCACAGAACACACATCACCTTCCCTGTGGCTTACATAACACTCACACAACACGCAAATCAGCACATAGGAACTAGCAGAACGATAGGAAACACATATAACACAATACCCAGAATGCACCTGGCTTACAACCCCAGCCAGGTCATTACACTATCAAGTTCAAAGAGAACGTGCTGATTATGCTGCAGAACACTCTGGAGAGCAGCAGTAGGGGGTGTATGAACAAGTCAACTTCACTATAGTGACTTTTTATGCCTGTCATCAACTAGTCGCTGTCACGTGATAATGACCGGCAAGATGCAGCCCTCGGAAAAGACAGCAGCCTGCTGTCAGCAGGTGACAAGCTCCTGCGCTCGGGGGGGGGGGGGGGGGGAAAGTGGGGGCAACGCGCTGTGCCAGACCGTAGGTACTGACACGCGATCGTTCATGTCGGTTCATTTCCTTTAATGTTTTCTGTCTTTTATTTGCGCCTGATGTGTATCGCTGCTGTGGAGCGGGGCGCTTCACCTTGTCCTCCGACGCACAGATCACAGCAGGGAGCGCTCAGCTGTTTTCGCGGTCGGTAGATCTGCCTCCTGAGCACGGCCACAGTAACAATCAGGTGTCGCCACCTCAAAAACTAATTTAACACGCGATCGTTCATGTCAGTTCATTTCCTTTAATGTTTTCTGTCTTTTATTTGCACCTGATGCGTTTGCTGCATGCTGTGGAGCGGGGCGCTGCGCGCATCACCTTGTCCTCCGACGCACTGATCACTGATACGGCCGCCAAACAGCGAGCGCTCCGCTGTTTTTGTGGTCGGTAGATCTTTTAGAACTGCAGTTCAAAGGTAACTCATGAGGTGAATATATATGAACCCAGGTAGCAGTTTCTCTTTAGGATTGAGAGGAGATGCAGGAAGATAATAAACAGGCAGGACAGAAAAATAGTCAAATAAAAACAAGTTAGTTTTTGTACCTGCTGTTGCAACAAACAGACACCATTGAAGGTAATCAGAAGTGAGGAACAGAAAATGAAATAATTATTTTAATGTTTAGAGCAGCAGGAACTCCGAGAGGCTGCAGGCGCATCAGTGAGTTTGCGGCCGCTGCGCAGGGGGAGGGGGGAGATGGCTGAAGCAGAAACTACCGTTGTTAAAAGAAATGTGTTTAACTTTGAAAATGTGGGCGCAATTTTAATTGTCAAAAACTCCAGTGAACCATTAGTTCATTTTGCTCAAATGGAAATAGAGGCCTGCCTCTAATACTGGCCCTCCTTCCAATAAAGGCCTGGAGCTTGCTGAGCTTGAGTCAAATAGAGGCCCGGGCCTGTATTAGAGGATTTACGGTATATATTATTGCTTTTCACTGGTAAAAATGTGTATTGGGGATAAATCTGCCTACTTTTTCTTTTTTTCTTGATTTCATTTGAATAATTTCCTGCTCTTTCTCTCTCTAACCTTCCTGCATGCTGCATGTTTTCTCCGTTTTCCAGAAAAACTGTTTCCTAGACTTCCTACTTTCTAACGATCAGCCAGAGGGATCTTCACATGCGCGGCGCTCCAGCAGCAATGAGTTGAAATCACCGGGACACAGATTATGAACTCAACTGAGGCAAAGCACGTCAGAAAAGCACAAAATACCAGAGAATATGCGCCGATATGAACGATCGCAAGTGAATTATTTTGTTTTAGTGGAGCGATTTTGTGAATGTTACAGCGGCCGCGTGCAGGACGCAGCTGGAGTAGTTGAGCCGTTACCGCTGCGTCCTCTCTGCCCGCAAAGCTGAGTCCATAAATGACGTAATATATGCAGATACTGGATCTTTCTTCGGGTTTCCCACAATTTGAATTTTTAAGGAACACATCTTGATTCTGGGTTTAAAAATGCGTTGTAATTACCGCGTTACTGACAATTGTACCGAGTAAATATTACCATTTTCTTTCTCTGTAATGCCTTACATTACCACATTACAACAAAAAGCAATGCATTACAGTAATTAATTACTTTTGTACCGCATTACTCCCAACACTGGCCGTTTGTGCGTTCTTTTTGGATATTTTTAGTGCAATTGTTGGACAAAATGACTTGCTGTGGCATTAATTGCACTAATAGAGCGTCCAAGGAGTCTCCACTTCATATTTTTCCGTAAGTAAAATTATATTTATGTATTTTAGGTCACTGCCAAGCTGAGCTTAGATTTTAACATGTACTGTTTAACCATGAAATTTAAATGTAATAGGGTAAAACCCAGTGCATTTAACATAATGCTGCACTTTAGAAAATGGGTTGAAATATAACATGTTGGTGGAGCTGGGTTCTATCGGTATGGTCCCCTCCCCGCAGCTGCAGCTTGCGCATCTCTGATCACGGCGCCTGTCTGCTGCGCAGGCTGCCGGCTTGTGGAGCTCTCGGATGGAAACCCATGTTTTCCAACTGGTTTTACCCAGCGGTCAGTCCGGCGCATCCCTGACTCAGAAGCTCCGGTGTTGTGCAGTTAACGCCGGTTGTAGCTACGTAGCTACAACCGTTAGCTTAGCTCCCACCTCTGCGTTAGCTTTGGGTTAGCTTTTAGCTACATCGCTTCAGTTCGACGGGTGTCGTCATTTGATCCCAGCCTTTCAGGCCCACCCTCAGCTCCACCTCTCTTCCCTTTTGTGGAATTGTCTGGGCTTGACGGAACCTGCGACACGGTCAAAATGGCGGTGGTGGCCACCTCCCATTTTGGCTTAAAAACTGATTATTGGAGCCTATGGAAACCCACTGTCCAGTATATATGTCGATGTCTCAAATCGATAAATCAATTAGAAAATCATAGGATTTAACAATTAAATGAGTTTTAAATTCAACTTTATTTTTCCTGCTCACCTGAGCTTCGTGTTGATCTGCAGGGCTTTGGCCAACATCTTAGCCCCCATGTCTCCCATTGAGTTTCCACTGATGTCCAGTTTGGTCAGGGAAGTGTTGCTGCCGAGAGCGTTGAGGACGATGGACAGGTCGGACTTCAGCTTGGAATCCGCCAGAGACAGAGACGTCAACGGCTGCAGAGAGGGAACGAATAAAAGATTTAATCACGAGGACAAAGAGAGTAAATCTAAAATGTAAGGATGTTCTCGTGGAGATGAAAGAAAAGAGAATTTCTGGTTTACTCACCGACTCTTCTTCCTGAATCATGTGAACTAGGTTGTCCAGGACTTGAGACACATTCCTGCAAGAGAACATATATTACAATAGCCCACCAACAGTATATTTTATTGTTGTGGCTTTTAATCCTACTTGGATTTGATGTTGTTGAAGTTTCTGCCCAGTGAAAGGTGTCGGATGGAGCGGTTCTTCGCTAACCAGACAAGAAGGGTGGTGAGATCCATGTCCAAACCTGAGTGAGGCGAGTCAGAAACAGAAATCAGTTCTAATCTCCATTCAGGTTGTTGTACAACTAAACAACAGTTAAGCTCAAATGTCCTCACCATTATCTGAAATATCCAAACTGGAAATGTTTGGGATCTCAGCGATGCAACCCTCCAGGATCTGGGATCCTCCTGAACGTAGCTGGAAGCAGCAAAAGTTAAGTAAACTGATGATTATGCTTGTGTTTAGATGTGATGTTGAAGAGTCCATGGTGGTCTTACCTCACAGCAGCTGAGATCCAGAGACACTTCACTGAGGTTTGGGTTGCAGCCAAGGCCCAACAATAACGCTCTGCAAATAGAAAATGCACCAAAAAGTCAAAGATAACCATCTCTCACATAACAAAAAACTTAAGAGCAATTTAAAAAAAGAAGATGATGTTACTTCAGAGCCTCCAGAGGCAGCCTTGTTCCTGACAGACTGACTGAAGACAGAGTGTGGGCGGAGCTGAAGAACTGCTTGAAAGTTGCTGGGATTTCCTTACACTTCCTGTATGAGGTGGAGAAGAGAGCGTCACATTTAATCCCTGTCTCTTTTAAAACGTGCACTTATATACATATAACCATATTATCATTATTATTATTTTCACATGAATTACAACTTGGGGGTGAATGAATTGGGGCAACGGTGGCACAGGAGTTAAGTGCTCGCCTCGCAATCGGAAGGTTGCAGGTTCGAGCCCCGCTCAGTCTGTCGCTGTCGTTGTGTCCTTGGGCAAGACAATTAACCCACGTTGCCTGCTGGTGGTGGTCGGAGGGACCGGTGGCGCCAGTGCTCGGCAGCCTCGCCTCTGTCAGTGTGCCCCAGGGCAGCTGTGGCTACATCGTAGCTCATCCCCACCAGTGAGTGAATGTGTGTGTGAATGGGTGAATGACTGATTGTGTTGTAAAGCGCCTTGGGGGGTTCCAGGACTTTAGAAGGCGCTATATCAAATACAGGCCATTTACCCTTTACAACTCATTTTACACCAACTTAAAGGTGCAATATGTAAAAATGAAGTGAGAATGACACCCTGTCGTCACATTTGGGAACTGCAGTCCATTTATCTAAACAGAAACTTTCCCACTGTCGTTCCGTGAGTTTCGTAGCTGCTGAAAGTTACAGATATTGAACTGAAAATTGCAAAACTTGCATAACTCAAGATCGCACATAAACTTATTTTTCAAGATTTTATAAAAATGGCAAAGCTGTATAATTTACCAACATACAGTGAGGAACATAAGTATTTGAACACCTTGCGATTTTGCAAGTTCTCCCACTTAGAACTCATGGAGGGGTCTGAAATTCACATTGTAGGTGCATTCCCACTGTGAGAGACAGAATGTAAAAAAAGAAATAAAATCAGGAAATCTCATTGTATGATTTGTAAATAATTCATTTGTTTTGCACTGCTGCACATAAGTATTTGAACACCTGAGAAAATCAGTATCAATATTTGATACAGAAGCCTTTGTTTGCAATTAGAGAGATCAAACGTTTCCTGTAGTTCTTGACCAGGTTTGCACATACTGCAACAGGGATTTCAGCCCACTCTTCCACACAGATCTTCTCTAGATCTGTCAGGTTCTGGGGCTGGTGCTGAGCAACACAGAGTTTCAGCTTCCTCCAAAGATTTTCGATTGGATTTAGGTCTGGAGACTGGCTAGGCCACTCCAGAACCTTGACATGCTTCTTACGGAGCCACTCCTTGGTTATCCTGGCTGTGTGCTTCGGGTCATTGTCATGCTGGAAGACCCAGCCATGACCCATCTTCAATGCTCTGACTGAGGGGAGGAGGTTGTTGCTCAAAATGTCACAATACATGGCCCCATTCATCCTCTCCTTAATACAGTGCAGTCGTCCTGTCCCCTTCGCAGAAAAGCACCCCCAAAGCATGATGTTTCCACCCCCATGCTTCACAGCAGGGAAGGTGTTCTTTGGATGCAACTCCTTCTTCTTTTTCCTCCAAACACGGCGAGTGAAGTTTAGACCAAAAAGTAGGGCCAGACCGATATGCTTTTTTTTGGGACCGATACCGATATAAAATTTTTAACAAAAGCCGATAGCCGATAATCTCCCTCACAAAAAAAAGTGGCGGATTTAGCAATTTGGGGGCCCAAGGCAAACACAGACATGGGGCCCCCTTACACGAAATTGTCGAAAAATCTTATATTTAACTGGATTTGCTAAACTCTCCCCTTTCTGACATGAGTTATTTTCAATTTTTTTTAGTCCTCCTCTTTTTTTCCTGTCTTTCTCTCCCTTTGAGTGTCTTCAATATTTGCTCTGCTTTCTTCTTCCTGTCAGTGCTCCTGTGCTTTTTCCTTTCTTTTTTTCTTCTATTTTCCATTTTGGTCTATGTTTTCCTCCCTGTAAACATTTTCCATTGTCTTTCCTTTTCTGCTTCCTTTAATGTTTACATAGAAAAACGACGTCACTTTTGGAAGTGAAGATAAAAGCTTTTTTTAAACAAGCTGCTTCTTTCTCTTATTGGAGCCATGAGAATAACTCCATTTCATGCTTAATGTTTTGACTACCACTTCGAGTTTGTTACGAATGCTCCCGCCTCTCCTCTTCTTATTTGTGGTCTTATGGCACTTGGCAAACAACAATTTAGTGCATTACTGCCACCAACTGGATTGGAGTGGAATGACTACCAATCACACCCTGTTTGTGCATCGCCGTCTTAAAGGAATAGTCCATTGTGGCATTAACAGAGGGGTGCCGGTGGTCAGGGCTAGGGGGCCCCCCAACACAAGGGGGCCCCAGGCGGCCGCCGACCTATGCCTAATGGTAAAACCGCCACTGATACAAGGCCACGGGGCACACAATTAACTTAGGAAGCATACTTTTGCCATTGCTTATTTTACCGTTCAACTTACCACTGACACAACAAATATGCTTAAAACGGAAGACTTACCTCCTACTTCCTCATCACCATCGTCTCTGCTTGACTGAATTGCTTCTGCTGCTCCGCTGCATGTGTGCTGTGACGGTGGCTCCACCCTCCGAGGAGTGGAGCCACACAACATGAGTTCATAAAGCTGGCGCCATCTGCTGGATAGGTAGCGCAATATCGGCCATCTTTTTGGCCAATAGCCAATAGTGTTAATGATGGGGCCCGGCCGATATTATCGGCCGATATTGGGGTCATTAACACTATCGGCCATCGGCCAAAAAGACGGCCGATATGGCCGATATTGCGCTACCTATCCAGCATATGGTGCAAAAAAGCAATGAAACGCTGGGAGAGGAGTGGGGGCGGTAATACGAGAAAAAAAACATTCCTCTTACAGTAGAATAAATCTATTGTATTTTTTCAGCCTTATATTTTACATAAGGCTTATACATTGCCACATACTAGTCATTTAAAGTATCTTATTTTTATTTTCCTAATCAAAACACAATAGGGTAAAACTCCACAGACTCAGAAAACAAAAAACTTGAATGTTAGATTTATACTGACTGAGTTTGTGTGTTCTGTTGTTTTTGAGATTGCAAAATAAATCTTATTTGCATTACTTGGATACCCTAGTGAGTTATTGAGACAGTTCTTTGGTGTGTAATATAGAAATAAGTTAGCATCAAAAAGGCAGAGAATGAAGGGTTTAACCTTAAGAACATTTGTATTTTTTTATTTTTGTGAGGGAGATTTATCGGCCATTATACCAGCTATCGGCCTTTGTTAAAAGTTTTATATCGGTATCGGTCCCAAAAAAGCATATCGGTCGGGCCCTAGTTAATGACCCCAATATCGGCTGACCAATATATCGGTCGGGCTCTACCAAAAAGTTCTACTTTGGTCTCATCTGACCACATGACTTTCTCCTATGCCTCCTCTGGATCATCCAGATGGTCATTGGCAAACTGCAGACGGGCCTGGACATGTGATGACTTGAGCAGGGGAACCTTTCGTGCAATGTGTGATTTGAAACCATGACGACACAGTGTTCTACCAACAGTGACCTTTGAAACTGTGGTCCCAGCTCTCTTCAAGTCATTGACCAGCTCCTCCCGTGTAGTTGTGGGCTGATTCCTCGCCTTTCTTATAAAAAGTGATCACCACGAGATGAGATCATGCATGCAGCCCCAGTCCTAGGGAGACTGACAGTCGTCTTTAGCCTCTTCCATTTTCTGATAATTGCTCCAACAGTTGATCTATTTTCACTAAGCTGCTTGGCAATTTCCCCGTAGCCCTTACCAGTTTTGTGGTGGTCCACGATTTTGTCTCTGGTTTCTTTTGACAGCTCCTTGGTCTTGCCCGTGGTAGTAGTTGGGAGTCTGACTGACTGTGGGGTGGATAGATGTCTTTAAAGAGCTCAGAAAGGTGCTACTAATTAAGATTACTAAGTGGAGTAGAGGTGGACTTCTTAAAGGCAGAGTAACAGGTCTTTGAGAGCCAGAATTCTTGCTGATTGCCAGGTGTTCAAATACTTATGTCCAGCAGTGCAAAACAAATAAATTCTTTACAAATCATACAGTGTGATTTCCTGATTTTATTTATTTTTTTACATTGTGTCTCTCACAGTGGGAATGCACCTACAATGACTACGTTTACATGCAGCCAGTATCCGGGTTATGATCGGGTTAAGGTCGGTATTCGGGTTTCTGAGTTGATCAGAATAACCCGTTTACAAGCATAAATAGAAAGACTTCCCTCTAACTTGCATAACCCGATTTAAATGCGGACGTTGGGGTAGCGTCAGGACGTATGGACTACGTCCAGACGCAATATGCGTCATTTCCGGTTCTTCTTGTTCCGGTATTCGTGAAAACAACAACATGTTACCCAGTTCGGAAGAGATTGCGACCGCGTTTTGCGCTTTAGTTTCCTCGTCACTCCAAAAGTGTGGTGCTGTGCCGCGAATCGCCATGTTGCTCCCAACTTGTTGTTTACTTCCGGTGTTCTGGTGCATACAAGACGTCTCGCTACTCAAAAGACCAAGATTCCTTGCGAACAGAGCATGCGCAGAACACACGCTTTGATGGGGATATCCCGATATGCGTTTACACGACCAAACATTCGGGTTAGAAAAGGGTTACCCCAGGTGTAGTAACCGGGTTTTTAAAAACCTGGTTGTGAGCATATCTGGGTTTTTGGCGGTGTTTACATGGACCTGCGGAACCGGGTTATTGTGAATATTTGGGTTTTAAAAGGGTTATTGGCTGCATGTAAACGCACTCAATGTGAATTTCAGACCCCCCCCCCCGATTTCTATGTGGGAGAACTTGCAAAATTGCAAGGTGTTCAAATACTTATGTTCCTGACTGTAAGATGAAATGAGCAGTTTTTATTCTTTGAAAAGTATTGATAAATAAATATCTTTAACTAAACTAAATAGATTGGATTTGAATGGTGTAGTCATATACTGAGGCAGTGATTCCCAAATTGGGGTCAGGACCCCACTGTGGGTCATCAAGAACTACACAGAGGGTCTTGAAATGTCCAGATAGGGAAATAAAAATTAAAACTATATATTTATAGCATAATTGTTAGAAAAAGTCAACTAAACAGTCATAAATGTTAACATGTGAACAAGACCTGAAGCGTTTTTCCTTTATTCCCTGAATCATTTAGCTTTTTAGGCTTGTTTGTCTTCACATTTGCTAATTTGTGGGTCTGAAGCTGAAAAGTTTAATAAGCACTGATCTACAGGATATCATGAAATCATATAATAAACTAAAAAGTATCAGAAAAGCTAATATATGAGCTGAGTCTGACTTTAACATCTCACCTGTGAGAGAAAACTGTTTTTGACATGTTGAGCACGGAGAGGTGCTTTAATGAACCTTTGCACAGAGATGCACACACCTGAAAAATAAATAAATTAATTAATAAACACTATATAACAAAGCAGCTTGAGATCAGACACATTAAATCAGATGATAAGCTGATTCCCACCGGCTCCAGTGAACAGTCGCTGTTGGAAAGATCCAGCGTCTCCAGGTGGTTTTGGTGACTCAGGAAGCCGTGCAGATTCTGTAAAAACCAGAAACAGAAGCACAAAAACATGATGTTGTTGCTGATTAAACCTAAAAGATGTAATGGACACAGTAGAAGCAAAGGTGCTTGTTTTTTTTACAAATCCTAAAGGAGTGAATGCGCTAAGAAGAGCCGTGGGCTGCATACCTGAATGTCGTCTCCTCTGAGGGAGTTACCAGAAAGATCGAGGTGAGTGAGCGTTGATGCAATGATAGGGTTAGCACAGAGAGCCTGACAGAGGCTGTTCACACCTGCAAGAAAAAAACTTACTTATAAAAATGTACAAAAAATAGGTCTTGGGTTTTGTATGTTTTGTTCACCTTTAGGAGACATGGAGGTTCTGGAAAGGTTCAGGTGCTTCAGGCCCATGGGCAACTTGGCAAGTTGAACACTCAAAGCTGAAACCCCTGTAAGAAGCCCAGAAACTTGATTTATTTTAATTGATTACCACTAGAGGGCGCATGAGCACACATGACAGAGTGAACTATCTCAAACTAGAAGAAACAGTCATTTGAGTTTAAATGCATGGTAAAAAATGGTGTAAATACAACAATGTAAATAATATTAATGAAAAAAATATTATTTTAGATATCTTGTGTCACGTTTATTTCCCCTGTATGAAAACTCTGAATAGATTGGATATACAAACCCTTATAGAGTTTGTGTTGTTTTTACTATCGACTTTGTGTCAAATCAAACCGTTAATTTGCACATGAATGTGTTTTTATGGATTTACATTATTTAGATATAATAATAAAATAAATCAAAAATGCTTTTAAGTGAGCGTCTCAGCTGGGTCCTCCCAGACACACACACACAGTCACTGTTGAGTCATTTCAGGAAGTTTTCCTCTTTGCGTACATTAGAATTTTAGGGACTAATAAATAACCTGCGCACGCATAAGAAATGTGTGTTCACACCAATAAAAGCAAAGTTTGAGATAGGTCTGTGTGTGTGTGTGTGTGTGTGTGTGTGTGTGCGTGTGTGTGTGTGTGTGTGTGTGTGTGTGTGTGGCTTAACCTTTGTCCTCCAGTGAGTTGTTGCTCAGGTTGAGTGTTTGGAGTGTGCAGGATGGGTTTTGTGACAGCGCGCTGGCCAGTTTCTGCACAAAATCACTAGAAACAAGGAGGAAAAACAGAAACTAAAGTAGCGACCAGTGATTAGGTTTAACAACAAATTTTAAAAAGTGTCACCTTTTATTAAAATTAATTAACTAGCAGGTACAAAGACAAAAAGAGGGGTTGAAAATAGCATTTTAAACTTTTTATTGTCTCTTTTGCTAAATAAAGAGGATCTGTTATGGAATGTAAAACTTTAATGGTTCACAGAATGACTCACATCAACTACGAAATATAAAAAACTTATTAGATTCGATACTTCATTGAAACCACTCAGTAATCATGAGTTTCACAGGGACAGTTATTACTGTCGGACACCGTGCTGCTTCATTCTACATCATTTAGGACGATGGAAGAAACAGACAGGGAAAAAGTCATAAAAAAAGACCAAGATGGTCAAAATGTGTGACATGACAAAAAACACACATTACTTATTATAGTATATAATATTACAGTTTATCCACCTCATTTTATGGTATGCTTACGGAGAAACGATGATGTGAGAAACATTGCTTACCCATTGGTTTGCATGGTGAGGTTTCGTTGTTAGTAGCGGTTTATTTGAACATTTGAAGAGATATTAAAAGATATTTAACATGCACACGTGTGGCTCAGGAACATGTTGTGCTGTTTGCGGTTGACTAAACAACCAGAGAGAGTTACATTTGTGGCTACAAGAGCGATGTTTAGAACATGCACCTCGGATTAGGAGAGAAAAACCTTAATTTAGGTCAATGCCAGCACAAACTTTACTTGTGTGCTCCTTTCATTTTGTTGATAAAATCCCCAGAGAGGCACACCTGCATCCCACTTTGTAGCTGGGATTCGACAAACCTCCAGAGAGGGTTAGGGTTAAACTTGACAGCAGTCTCACAGCAATAGGTATGGCAACCGAAGGGGAGGATGCAGCTATGGAAGCCATGTGGGAGGTCTTCAGAATCAAACGTTGGGTAAAATTGTTGCCTATTTCTTTAACTGCAACACTAATTAAACATAAAATCTGATTTTATCCTGCCCTCTGACCTTCTGAGTCCAGCATTATCCAGAACCAGCTCTTCTAGTCGACTGGAGCGAGCCACAACCCTGAAGATTTGGTCACACACATCCGTAGACTGAAAATCAGACATTTTTGTATTATTTATACAATTGAGACTCATTACCATTACAGAATTAAAAAAAATATATATTTTCATCAAGCACATGAAAACAAAGAGGACTGAGTTAAGTCAGAACACTGGTACGTTACCAGTTTGATGTCCTTAGATGAGAGTTTGGTGAACCACTGGTTGTATTCAAGAACTGCAATGATTGCCACCAGATCCCTGCAGAGGAGATTGAAACACAATAAAGCAGCCATAATAACATAAAAAAAATCTGAACTTAATCATTAGTGATGCTCAATTTTGGCTTTTCTACAATATACTAATATTGCCAAACTCACAATTTTTGACACTGATAAAACCGATCCCCCCCCCCCATCCACAATAAAAGACGATAAACCAAATGATTTCAGGTTAGTAGCATCACATATCTCCTAACGTGCATGCTTAAGTTTTAAACATTATCTGTGCAAAATGACAACTACTCAAATTGAAGTTGGTAATAGGACAAAGTGTCATGTTTAATCTGTCTCCAGCAGCTGCTGAGTCTCATTCTCCCCGAGATAATCCTGATGCTCTGTGACGCCTTTAGAAACAATCTTTGTTAGATCAGCCGTACGAAGCCTCAGACCGATCTTTGACGTGAATTCTCCATTTACGTTGTTTACATTTAAGCAGAAACAAGATAATAAACGACTCAGGAACATGCTGAATGTGCTTCATATGTTTGTCTTGGAGAACGTTTGTCTGTGTAACTATCGACGGGTTTAGGGAACGCTTGGACATGTGTTGAAGTGACTTAGCTTACAAAAATGTAAGCAGTGTACAGTGATCCCTCGCTACTTCGCGGTTCGTTTATCGCTTATTCACGACTTCGCGGATTTTTTCTTTGGAGCCTTATTCAAGGGAAATTCGCCGATTCGCGGTATTTTTCTATGCGAAATATCAAGAAATTCCTGTTTTTTTTCTCATCAATTTCATCATAAAATGCCCTTTTTGCAATAAAACTAAAAAAAAACAAGTAAAATTTTTTTTCTATGTAAAGGGAGGGTTTTAAAAGTCTGAATACTGAATACGTACCTGTTAAATAAATACTGTAAATATGGTGTCCCTACTTCACGGGTTTTCACCTATCGCGGCCAGGTCTGGAACGCATCTACCGCGATAAACGAGGGATCACTGTACACATGCTAAGCTAGGATAATTGCTAAGTGTGATGCTGACATGTGCGCTAGTAACGTATATTTTCTTTTTCTGTATATTGCAGCCATGGTGATAAAAGATCTTCAGTTAAGAAATGCAAGCCTTGGGTGATTATTCTTGTTTTGGTTTTAGTGGTTTGCTAGCTGTCTAGTCTCTCCCATCACAGGGCCATTTCCTGTTTTTTCACAAGTCGGGCCAAAACTAAACTAAAATATCTCAAAAACTAAACCTCAGACCTGTCATATTATGACATTTTGAGAGAGATGAGGTGAACCCAAAGAGTTTGATGGCTCATATGTGCATGGTACATAAAGGTTGGGCCATTGGAAGAGTAAACTGATGCCACATTTTACTGCCAACGTCGGCCAATTTCAATGACAGACGGATTACATTGTATTTCCCTGATAATCATGGTTGGATTAAAAACCTGATCACCTCTGGATCAGCACAAACCTGTTCTCAAGGTGAACAAAGTCCTGCAGGTTTAGTTCTTTGGTGTCCTGAGTGAGATAGATGGTGTCAACGTCCTGCAAAAGCCAACAACGATGCAATCAGACGAAGAAGAGACCAGTTTATTACAGTTTGTCTAAAGTGAGATGCAACAGTAGAAACGTGGGTGAAAATCAGCTGCAGCTTCAGGACGTGCTGAGAATCTGTTTAAAGTGGTATTTAAAGGTAAACAGAAGAGGAAGAATAAATATGACAAATGCAAAACTATTGAAGCAACAAACAAAAGAAGCCAAACAAAGACAAGGAAATATATCTAGTTGGAGGTGGTTAGGAGGAGGAAGAAGAACAAAAAATGTAGAAAAGGACACAAAAGCAGCAGCAGGGGAGTGACGATGTCTCAGGTACTGACCCACTGGACTTCCTCTCTGTAGGGCAGACCCAAGCCATCACACACACACCAGTACTGATGAGAAAATCCACCTGCAAAGAGTCATCCCAACAATGTTGAGGTGTAAAAACACACACACACACAAAAGGGCTGAACTGCTTCTTAGTGTTTTACGCAATTTGAGAATGATCTACCACAGGGTCCTAAATCAGCTGAGCTCTGCTCATTCCAGAAGTCCTGGAGGGCCGTCAGCCTCTCTGGAGGTTTCAAATTCAACTTCCTCATCAACTTTCTTCCTTACGGAGAGATACAGGGAGAGGAAGAGGAGCGGGAGAAGAAAAAATGGAGAGAACATTAATAATCAAACATAAAATTAACAACTAAAATGCCACTGATTGCTCAGCAAACTACACTCTAAAAATGAAATGTTGAATTTAATTAACCAAGTTATGTCAACTGGCCCTACTAAAGTTAAAGTCCCATAGTCATCATCACACACTGGTGAAATTCATCTCTGCATTTGACCAATCCCCATGGAGGGGAGCAGTGAGCTGCAGCGGTGGCCGCGCTCGGGAACCATTTGGTGGTTTAACCCCCCAATTCAACCCCTTAAAGCTGAGTGTCAAGCAGGGAGGCATTGGGTCCCATTTTTGTAGTCTTTCCCAACCGGGAATCAAACCCCGATCTCTTAGTCTCAGGCCACTGAGCTGGTTAGGACGGGCTACTATTTTGGGCCGTTTTCAGGAACCTTCTGAGTACCTGCTCCGGAGCAGGTATTCCGAACGTCCCGGTGGAATAGCTGAGCTGGACGTCCGGTTAACTCACGCTGATTGGTTGTCACTCAGTAGGAAATGACATCAGCAGACATCCAAAACAACCAGCAGCAATAAAATTAGAAGAGTAGCTGGTGAAGCCGAAAAGCACAGATTGCATTTAAAATCTATCTCCCGACACCGGAAAACTTGGTGGAAGCAGCTGTTGGAAAAAACGGGAAATTCCCCCAGAGACTTAATTAACGGGGCTTGTCTCACAAAACTCAGAGCTGCTCGTGACCTCTGAATTGATTAAATTAAGATATACTTCTATAAAATAAATACTTTTAATATTATTAATGTTACTTTCAGCGTTTTTGGGGGCTGATCAGTGACATCACTCACTGCCAAAGCAGAGAATGGACACAACAGCTGAGAGGACTGGGGCATCCATCTCCTGGTCAAGTTCCACATCCCAGGAACTACTCTGGAGTTTTGGTAATGGAAACATGCCAAATAAGATTCTGCTGGACTGATTTTTGAAGCAGTTGGCTGAGTGGTACCTACACAGGGGAGCCAGCGGGGCAGATCCGATAGAGACAGACACCGATG